CTCTGGCCAATTTCTCCAGGGCTGCTCCACTCTCTCTCGTCTACTGTATTCCAGTGCTCCTCGTGGGCTCTAAGTGGCCACTCAAGGAATCCCCAGCAAAGATAATTCTAATATCTTAATGTGGATCAGACTAGGCACATGTAAACAAGCTCACTGCTACGAGTCAATGCCAACTGATAGCGACCCTATAGAATGGGGTAAAACTGCCCTTGTGGGTTTCCAAGAGTCTCTTTACTGGTGTAGAAGCCTCATCTTTTTTTCCCCGCAGAACAGCTAGTGGTTTTGAACTGCAAATCTTGCAGTTAGCAGCCCAACGTGGGACCACTACACCACCAGGGCTCCTGTAAAGATTTATAGTGACTCCATAAGGCAGAACACATTCTGGGCCAAGAGCAGCAAGCTCATGTAGGGTTCGGGGATAGTTCTAGATGTATCCTAGTCATAGTATAGCTGAAAACAGATAGGTCAACTGAGGGCAGGTGTTCAGAATTGGACACACAAACTGAGAGAGTCAGTCTCAATTGGTCAGTTAACTAATTCCTTGACCACTAGGGCTGATGGGTCTTCTGACCAGGTCATTCATTGCCTACCCTCTTGTCTCAAGGTATTTGCTATCTTAAGCTACCATTTGGATATTTAGAGGACTTGAGTCTTATATTTGTGTGTGCACACACGTGTGTGTGTTGGTTTTCATTCCCAGGAGCCTCTGACTTCTGATCAAAACCCCATAGATTATCTAGCTAGCTTCCTTACTTGTTCATCTGCCATCTAACTAGTACTTGTCCCTCCATCTCTTTTCTCTAGCTGGTAAAGTCAGTCAGTCCTATTCACTGTGAAAACAGGATCTATTGGATTGTTTATAAATCTGTACCCTAGCTTTACTTCTTTTTAAAGACAGCTTAATTATGCCTTTACACTGGAGCATAGGTGTTGAACAATTGCCCAAACCCAAGAAGATAGACTGGGAAAATCTAGAGAAGCTTGATATTACAGAGGGAAAATTAGAATCCAAAAGCATGGTGTTTGAATAGAGAAATTTCCTCCTATTTTGCCTTGGAAGGAAATCATTAAAGATAAGGGATGAGAATAAAGGGCGCGCGCGTGTGTGTGTGTGTGTGTGTGTGCGCGCGCGCAGATATAACACACCATATAAACAAGTGGGAAATCTTGGGAGTAAATGGTCTCATGGTATATAAAATTGAGTACAAGACAATAGTTACTTTATACAATTTATAGGTCTTCCTATTTCCCCTAGTAGGTGGATGGTATGCTTCATCCTGAAAGTCAACTTCTAGTTGGATTCCCCAGTCGTTGGGCCATTTAAAAAAATATATTCAGGAGTCTCACTTAAGTCTCTGTGTTTGTTGATGATGGTAGTTGGGGGTGGTGGTGGTGAAACAGGTGTTGTATATGTTAAACTAGTCTTACTTTTAAATAAATGACAAGAATAGCAGATGAGCCATCAACTAAACTTTTATTAGAGTTCAACATATAAACAAATATTTGTTCTTTGTCAGCAGTGGGCTATATAAAAATGGACTCAGACATGGGATTTTCTATCTAAACAAGCAAGGTGTGAATCAGCAAAGGAGAACTAATGAGGGCTAACATTTATTAAACCTTTACCATAGGTCAAAGGGAGGAATCCTGATGCTGCTGTCAGGTTAGCATTGGACTGCTAATCCCAAGGTTGGCATTTCCAATCGGCCAACCACTCAAGGGAGAAAGATGAAAAGACTGTCTGTTCCTATAAAGATTTACAAAGGCTCAGAAACAAGCCCCCTATCCCCAGAGAGTCACTGTGAGCCTGAATTGACTTCATGGCATTTGTTGGAGCCCGAGTGGCACAGTAGTTAAACACTTGGTTGGTGATGTGAACCCTTCCCAGTGTGTCTGCTGGTAAAAATCTCATGATGGGTTTCTGTAAGGATGGCAATCAAATAAGCTCTATTTCGTCACATGGGGTCACTAGGAATGGAAATCAACCCCATGGTACCCAACACCCATCACCATAGGTCAGGTACTCTGTGCTAAGGACATCCATCAGCTTTATCCAGTTTAATCCTCCCAACTCGGTGAGTGAGGTCCTGTTTTTACATCCAGAGATGTTATGATCAGCTAACCCTCCTGGTTTGGTTCGGCCTGTACCCTTCTCATAATTGGACTTGGAGACTGGTGTGTCAGCGAAAACGGTTAGGAATGTGTTCTCCCGCCAGTGGAGAGTGGAATGTTTGCTTCTGCTCCTGCCCTCAGAAAAGTGGAAAAGAGTGGGGGTATTTTCTGAGGTCTATCTGTAGTTGGGTTTTAGGCTGTGTATTGTTTCAATATTTCTATATAATAAGTCCATGATCTCAAGACTGGTAAATAGCAATAAGTCTGAGAAAGAGTAGCCCGAGTATTTTGTTAAATACCATATAAATTTCTAGGGACGTCACACAGCATGGTGACATAGTTTTCATGGTAGATAGTTAGTAAATATTCCCTTTTCTGATCACTGTTCAACATTGTTGGGGTATTACTCATAGTAACCAAGCCATCTTGTTACAGAATCTCATAAAAATTAGAGTTTACATGTTGATATAGTTCATAAAACTAACAATTATTTTGAACCTTGGTGAGGAAAGCACACAATATTTTTAGAGCAACCCATATCTTTTGATTTTTCTTTAAATACAAAAGAGTTTCATGGAAAAGTCCCATTATCCTTTAATTCCATATTTCCACAAACTTTTTGAAGCCGTCTCACAATTACTACCTATTTTTACCTGAGATTTTTACAGACTCCTTGCAATTGAATAAAATTTAATTAATTAAATAAGACTAAAGCAACAGTAGAAATGATCAGGCATCAAAGTATATCCGGATGCACAAAATTGTGCTCTAGGGTACTATTCTTACAACTGCTCGGTGTGTGTAGCATGTACAGATTTATTAACTCACATATTCTCATTTTGACGGAGCTGATAACAGCAGCAACAACTACAGTTAATTGAATATTTACTCTGGTCCAGACAGTATAGTAAGTACCTGATAGTTATTATCACATTTAATTCTCATAACAGTTCTATGAGGTAATTATTATTTTACCTAAGCACAAAAGACGTTCAGAGGCTTACGTGACTTTTCTAAATACACAGAGTTAAAATTTGAGCCCAAATTTTGAGAATTGAAGTCCAATGCTTCTACCTACCCTCTATCATAAAGAGACAAGTGAATGCAGTTCCTCATTATACGTCTTAGGCTTATGGCTTCTCTCCATGATGGGAAGACTCAAGCCTTAGAGTATAAGTATATAAGTACATACTCCTGAATATGAATCTTTGTTTCTAAAGAGAGCAGACTATTTGGCCATTTGCAGTCATCTTAATTAAAATCTTATAATATGTAATTCTTACCAGTCCAGATGAAAACCATGATACAAAAAGAGTGTGAGGGAATAAGATTAGCAAACACCCAGTGGAACACAATACCTGAGCATCACTGACGAGTAGCTGGAGACGTACAAGCCCTTTGGACGCACCAAACCAAACACTCACTGCCATTGAGTCTATGCCACCAGGGTTCCCTTGACACAAAAGATCTTGGGGAAAAAATAGTCTTTGTCAATAGTCCTGACCTTGCCATCCCACTCTCCTCTCTGCTCTCAGTTAAGGTGCCAGTGGTACAGGATTTAGAATGTGCCTCACTGGTCCATCCATGAGACAGTGACAGAGGTGTGGCAAACGGGCTGTGCAGAAAGGACTGGAAACAATTTCCATTGCTGTTCAAATCAAGATAGTAGCAAACCATTGACCAAGACTGCCGGTCAGGGAATTCCAGTGAATTGTGCACTACATGCCCAGGGACTCTGAGAGACCGGGAGGCTAATGGTTTCTCTCTCTAATGAGAAGACTCGAGTCTTGGAATCATGTTAATCACATTGCAATTTTCCAGGAGAGAATCAGTATTTTATTCTTCCTTTCAGCACCTAAAACAATAAGGATTAATCGTGACTAAGGATCTTTTAAGCAAAAGAGTAATTTCTTGGCTGCCAAACTATTGAGTGGCAGTGGGTCATGTGAATTATGTAATTTTAGGGTCCTTATCAGGAACTTAAATACTATGATCTTTATTTTAGACAGGTAGGAAAATGTCAATATTTTGTTTTAAATAAAGTGAGGCTTGCAAATTCATTTGTTAGAGTTCAACTAATTTAAAAAGAAGCACATTACACTGTGTGAGAGGCATGTAGGTCCCATTTTACAAAACTGGAAAGAAAACTCAGACTATTGAGTTAACAAGTGTTGGTGGGAGCCACCGCCCCTCACTCATTGATGGAGTCGGTTGCCACTCATAGGGACCTTTATGCAGAGTCGAGCTGCTCCACAGTTTCCAAGGCTGTAACTCTTTCTGGAAACAGCCAACATCTTTCTCTGGAAGAGTTGCTGCTGGGTTTGAACCGCTGACCTTGCAGTTAGCAGCCCAAAGCTGAACTCACGAGTCATTACTTCTTTTCAGAACTAGCAATATCTTAGTCTGTAGACATACATTTTAAAAGTTAGCATCTGATAAGGTGTGTATGTATGTATTTTAAATCTCTAGTTAGCTTTTAAAAAAATGTTTATGGTTCACGGGAACTTGAATGTTGGTGCAGTTTCCAAGCCGACATACCTTTTTCTTATGACAACTAATATGACAACACCTCGCAGACACAATTTCCTCAGCCTTTTAAAAGCATTGATTAGCATTTTCCACTCAGGTGGGGAGGAAAAATTAGTCTACCTCTACAGTTTTCTGTGTCTTTTGTTTTGTTTTCTGTGTGTCTTAAATGACAGACAGGCCTTGCCAGACATTGTGGGCTGAAGATAAAGTTGCTGAAAGTCAGAGCCAGGGGTTTCCTCCCTGTGTACTTATCAGCCTTGTCTTAAACCACAGTCTGCCTCTTGATAGCGCTCATCATTAATTTAGTCTTCTCTCTCTTTCTGCTCCCCCCCCCCCACCTTCTCCCTGTCTGTTCACAGGTTATCTTGACGAATCAAATTACAACCCATCTGAGCAGAGCCCTCCCTTCGCAGGCCGACCTGGTGTCTCCAGCTGATGATGTGTCCCTGTCTGAAGGTAAGAGATCTGTCCTGGAGCGGCTGAAACTTGACGCGGACACACAGCCCACTGCCTCTCTGCCTCCTGTCGGGAACTAGGAGACTTGCCTAATAGGTTGTGGCCAGCGAGCCCAGCTGGAGCCGGGTAGCTTCAGTGTGTCCACCTGGTACCTGACTTTGGGTTTGAAACTGGTGCTCAAAGGTTGGCCTTACCCCCTGGCCATGGAACCGTTTGTTGGTTGGGACCTTTGGACTGGCCCAAAAGCATGCACTAGCTATCCTGAGTGGGAAATAGCACCTTCCTGGTCAGCTCTCCAGAAAGATTCAGCAAAGTGTCCACTTTGGTAAATCTAAACAATTGGCTCCACCCCTCACCCTGCCACCCCCACGCTACAAAAGGTCAGGCAGGTTCAGGCTCTGGTTTTTGATGGCACCCGGCCTGACGTAGCTAGGGGAATTACAGCGCTGAGCCAGTGGGTGGTTTCTGGCCTTACTGAAGTTCTCTCTTGACATTTCTCTGAGTCCTTCCAGCTGTCCTCGCTTGTGTTCCGCGGCACGACCCTGGCGGGCGAGGGAGATGTGTGTAACTGCTCAAGCCCCTCTGCGCGTGGGCACTTTCCTGACAGTTGTTTGTGACTGAATTGATGAGACTTGTAGGCCTAGCTAGTGTGGCTCCTGACTGCCTAGGTCAGCGGTTCTCGACCTGTGGGTCGCGACCCCTTTGGGAGTCAAATGACCCTTTCACAGGGGTTGCCCGATTCATAACAGTAGCAAAATTACAGCGATGACGTAGCAACGAAAATAATGTTATGCTTGGGGGGTTACCACAACATGAGGAACTGTCTGAAAAGGTCGAGAAATTAGGAAGGTTGAGAACTACTGGCCTATGTAGTCTTCCTGGGATCTCTCTCGGTTTATAGCTTCAGAAATTCAGCAACAAACTTACCCCTTCTTCTTCTTCCTCTTCTTTTAACCTAGCTCTTATCACAATCCATACATGCATCCATTGTGTCAAGCACATTTGTACATATGTTACCATCATCATTCTCAGTTTCTTTCTACTTCAGCCCTTGGTATCAGCTCATTTTCCCTCCTCCCCCCTCCTTCCCTCACGAACCCTTAATAATCCATACATTATTATTTTCATGTCTTACACTAACTGCTGTCTCCCTTCACCCACTGTTCTGCTGTCTGTCCCCCTGGGAGGGGGTTATATGACGATCATTGTGATCGGTTTCCCCATTCTCCCCTCACCTTCCCTTTACTCTCCTGGTATCGCCGCTCTCGTTATTGGTCCTGAGGGGTTTATCTGTCCTGGATTCCCTGTGTTGACAGCTCTTGTCTGTGGCAACACCCCTGCTTCTTGATGGTGTCTTTCAAGTGAACATGATTTCTTTCTAAACACTTTTAAGATGCTCGGTATCTTTTCCGTACCCACCAATGGATTATCTCTCACTCAAAACCCAACTCAGAGTGACCCAGCAGGTGTGGGTAGAATTGCCCCACAAGGGTATCCAGGACTGTAAATCTCTGAAAGTCACATTGTCCCCCCTTTGGGTTAGCAACCGAACATTTCAACCACTGAGCCATCCGGATTCCTTGAGTGACCCAGGCTGAACGCCTGAATCATCTGGGATTCCTCCCTCCATGTACTGTACTCCTTTCATGATGGAATCTTCCTGATTCATCTTTCCCACTGTATCTCTCCTCTGCCTCTCTGTTTTGGGTCATTTGCATTGTTACCAGCTGACTTGTTAAATGCACAATTGGCTTAGTGTAATAAACCTCACATTTCCCACTGACAGCCTCTCCCGTTTTCAGTCCCCCACTTCCAAAGTGAATTCCCCTAAGCTCGCTTCCTTCTGCTGTGTCACTCTCCTGCTCCAGAATTTTAGATTTGCTTTTTCTGAGAATGGGCTAAAATCAGTAAACCAATCATTGGGGTTTGCTAGCTTGAAATGCTTATGGAAATATTTATACCATGGAAATCAACAAATGCTCAAAATCCGGGGAATTTTGTGGTTGTTCTTTCTGGTGGCCAGCTTACTAAAACCTCACTAGATAAAGCCAGTGCTTCATAACCCTCCGTAGTCTATGCATCCCTTCCTGTCCTCTGAAGCCTTATGTGAAGAACACTCCTAGGTCAAGCGCGTGGCTGATCTGTCCCTGCCACTCCTCCCACCTACCTGCTAGACTCTGCAAAGGCAGGTCAGCCCATCTAGAACAGCAGTTCCCCTTTGCAATGCTTCCCCCCCTTTTTTTTTTTCCTGCCCAAATCCTTCAAGTTCTACTTAAGGAACAGCTTTTTTGTGGAATCTCCTTCTCTGTGTTACTCCCCATTGGTGGCCCATATTCTTCTTCCTCTGTGCCCTCTCCTCCGGCTCAGCTATAGGAAGACGAGTTCTAGAACAAGTTGCTTTTCTTGTTTTCTTCATTAGATTGTCAGATTTTCACACACACACACACACACACACACACACACACACACACACGCGCATATAATGTATTGATTCAGCTTTGAGGAAAATACCAGAAGAGAATATTTGTTTCCTTATCTGATATGTAATTGTACTTGTCTATGTCCTGTTTTTCTGGTTTATCTTAATCAAAGAGAAGAGCAAAACAAATACAAAGAAAATTGCTTTTGGACTCCCACTGTGGCCACTACAAAAAAAATAACTAGGTCGCTGAAAAAGATAAATTAATCAAAGAGGACAAGTAAAACTGAAATGGACTTAGTGGCTTCAGAGACAAAAAAGTCTCAAACAAACAAAAAAATGATAAAGTCATATTCATAAGCAATGGGAGAGTTATTAACTCGTCCTTAGACACTGTTCCTGATGATGAAATCCAAGGAAAAAATGAAACAATTGCCTTTCCTAGATCCTTTGTTTGTAGAGGGGTTATAGAAATATATTTTCTTAAAAGTTGTAATGAAGAATTGAAATGTTCACATTTCTTAGGACATTTAGACTTAGGACAAATATAACTTCCTGCCATTGAGTCAATGCAATCCTCTGTGGGTGTTCTGAAGCTATAATTGTTTATGGGAGTAGAAAACCCAGTCTTTCTCCCACGGAGTTGCTGGTAGGTTTTGAACTACCAACCATGCGCATCGCAGCCCAAAGTGTAACCACTACACCACCAGGGTTCCATATAAGTCCAAACATGTTGCTACTGGGGTTGCTATTTGTATATGTACATGTTTATTCCAACCAAAGCATGTTTAAATGTGTCCATGCGATCAGTGGATGATGGCAGATAAATTCTCTCAGAATTACGATTGTGTTAGTCCCGCTAGGGTGTCTTCGGGAAACATGATTCAAACAAAAGCATTGTTAGCTTCATTAGTCCTGGAACCATAATTGAAACTCTTGAAGAGGGTGCTCTGAAATATAACTGGGACTGTTTCTTCAATTTAACAGAGAGTAAAGACTAATCAAACCAGTGATGTCTGGGAGGATTTGCTGGTGCTTTCAAATTCAAGGCCAAGAGGTTAGCTCAGAAGGTTATCCTGACTGATTTTGGGAATTCCAATGTGGTGATTTTTATATATTTTCTTGGAGGACACAGCACAATCACAGGGTCTTATTATGAAGAAATTTTAAGAATATTGAAAACCGCACTGGTAGAAAAAGGACCATAGAAGTTGGGCCAAGGATTCTGTGATGCTCACCTTCCCGACACAGTCACTAAAGATAAAGCAGGTGCATAAGCAAATGTGAAGAAAGCTGATGGTGCCCAGCTATCCAAAGATGCAGCATATGGGGTTTTAAAGGCTTAAAGATAAACAAGTAGCCATCTAGCTGAGAATCAACAAAGGCCACATGGAAGAAGCACACCAGCCTGTGTGATCATGAGGTGTCAATGGAATCAGGCATCTAAGACCCAGAACAAAATCATATGGGAGGGTGGGTGGGTGGGGAGGAGTGGGCATGGAGTGGAGACCCAAAGCCCATCTGTAGACAATTGGACATCCCCTTACAGAAGGGTCACGAGGAAGGGACTAACCAATCAGGGTGCAGGATAGCACCAATGAAACACACAGCTTTTCTCTAGTTCTTTAATGCTTCCTTCCCCCACTCTCATGATCTCAATTCTACCTTACAAATTGGATTAGAACAGAACATGCACACTGCTACAGATAAGAGCCCCAAAATACAGGGAATCCAGGATAGATAAAACCCC